TGGGGATGGAGGAGGGTAATTAGCTATTGAGCAATGTGAAAACTGCTGATAATACTGAGGGACCTTATACAAGAATGCTTAGATAGGTGTCGTATTCCTATAGGTTGATGGGGATCAGCTGAGAGTCAGCTGATGCGAGCTTGGCTAACGTGACCTGCCAGAACTAACACTTACGCTTGATTTAGTTTAATCTTACTTTTTGCTCATCATAACTGCAATGTGAGGAAGTTTATTTTATTTTATATAATAATTATATAATTTTATCTTATTCAAATATTTTATTAAAAGTGTTTATATGTGTCTTTATTACTGCTTCTATTTATATTTTACTGCTTCTATATTATATTTAAAGTGTGAAGTATACTTAAATTGTGTTTCCTTGATGTGGAAACATTGTGCTCTGCCAATATTAAATATGTGTTTAGTCTGTCATTTATGCCTAAATTTTAGTAAAATGTAAAAGTATTACATAATTAAAGCATTACAGTATTAAGAATCTAATGAAAATCAGTTTAGAAAATAATCATAATTATTACAACTCAAAATTAAAACACATCGATGCATTACTGTAATTAATTGTAAATATGCTTAATTGTATCATCACAGTGCAAATATGTGATATCAAATATTTTTTATTATTTTGCTGTAATATTTTACAATAAAATATATTTTAAAATATTTGATAATTAATTTGTGAAATATTGAATGAAGTACTTTGTTTAATATAAAGCTTTGAAAAAAACGGAAATTATTATAAACAACATCCCCCCCCACAATATTTTTCTTTTGATTTTGTGATTAAATGTGACCTGAATATTTTTTTTGTGAGATTCCCAAAGTAAACATTATTTCATAGCCTCTAGCTCTCTGTAGTATTTAGACCGATCGAATGAATTAAAGTGGAAATTCCACATTATCCAAACACAAGGATGCAGATCTACACATCTACACATCTGTACGTGGTTTCACTTACAGAAAGGCAAAATTCAAAATAGGGTTACTAAAAGAGCCCATTTTGCTTCGGTCTGGGAGAACAATTACCCTAAAAACACACAAGCTGAGACTGAGCTTTTGGCAGAGGACAGATGAGCCGCTGAAGCAGGTCTGTGTGTTTTCATTCACGTGGCTTCATGTGGAAACTCAATGTTCTCTGCCAATATTAAACATTTGTTTAGTCTGTCAGCATCATCAGTCCAATTTCAGAGCTTTAAACTTCAGTAGTGAATGCGGCTCATCGAGTTGTTCAGGTTTTCGATCTAAAACCCGGGAAGATAATTTAGCACGAGTCATTCTGAAAGGCTTTTTAGAAAAGCGTTTTTTTTTTTTCTCAATTTATGAGTAAAACAGAGTCTCTGTATTTAATATTATTTAAGAAACTGCATGGCGTGTTGTAAATTTTGTGCTTTGCAAATGTACGTTTCTAACAAGTTGCTATTCAAGGACTACGACAATCCCAGTGCCCAAATTCAGTGGCAACAAATTGGGTAGTTGCAACAAATTTAGCAACTAATAACATACATTTTTTTTAATGCACACCTACAAAAAATATAGCTGTTCAGATTATAATCCAAAAACCCAGGATGAATTTCAAACTTTCAGTTCCTTTGGTTTTCTGGATTCTTTTATTGACTTTCATAATGCCAGTTTTGGATTTATTAGTAAAATGATGTCTGTGGTAAACATTACTTGAAGATACTTGGTGTCTGATCTTATACAAATATCTTCAAGTAATGTGAAGTCGCAGACCTTGTTTTACTCCATCTTTAAAAACTCAGTTATAAAAACCCAAATATAGTCCTGAAATCTAAGGAAAGAAATTAGAATTGTTAATTTAAAAATTATTATTTTTTATTATTTGTGCAGCATGACTTTTATTTTAATAGCAATTAAACAAAAATGTATAAATATTTTATGCAATTTTATATTTAAATTGTAAAGTATTTAATATACGGTATGTGCCAACACAAAAAAGAAATTAGAAATAATATTAATTAAATAAAATTTTCAATAAAATGAAGCCTATTAGACTTCTTTTAATAACAGTTAATCACTCTTTTTTAAAATAAAAATAAAAACAAAATATAAAATATTTATTCATATTGTATGAAATTATAAAGTACATACCATGGTGTGTTGCCTTTAATTTGTACAGTATTCATTACAGTATTTCAGGGGGTATATGTGCTTAATTGTTATTAAATGATGCAACAAAAATCTTTAAACTCAAACCCTTGTGGTAGTTAAAGTAACTCGGTATGATCTTATATAAACGTCTTCAAGTAACTTTCACCACAGACCGTATTTTACTTGTAGAACTGAAAAAAAAATCCCTAGGGAATCCATGATGAATTAGTCTTCCACATTTGCCTACAAATTGACGTCATAACTGAAGAGATTTTAGCAATCACATTGCATTTATCTTTGGGATATACTGTCTTAAACATCATGCTTGAACTTTTAACACTAGGAATTAACGGTTACATTTCACATGCCATTGTGAATCATTGGAAAATAGCAAGCCATTTAATAGGTCTGAACATCCACTGAACTCTGTGTCCTTTTTTCATCTAAAGACACTCTCATTTATATGATTTGACAAGGTTAAATCACATGCAAGCTCTTGGAAAGTGCTGTTTTAATCAAAGAGGTCAAAAAGGGTCATCATTCACAAAAGAATGCATTAGATTGTGAATCATATTGAAGTTATCAGTCAATAGTAAGTCAAGCTCGCAGGCAGCGCCGACCCTTTCCAACCTTGTCTGTTTGACTTACGAAACTGACTTTAGTTTAAGGAATTCATTACACAAGAAGGAAACAAGGAAGCAACAAATCAGGTTCCCCAGAGCGAAAGTTCTTTTATAACTAAAGACACTTAATGGATTTCTCAGTTATGTTATGCAAGTGTTTAAGTATCAACTTCTGTCTCTGATGTTTCTCCTAAAATTCCTTAAAACAGGCACAAATAAGATGATTGTTGACATATAGTAAGTGTTTAGAGCTATAAAATAAATGTGGATAGCAGCTTGGAAGAAATTGAACATGTTTGTTCATATTAAAGGAATAGTTCACCCCAAAATGGAAATCTGCTGAAAATTTACTCATCCTCATGCCATCCAAGATATAGATGAGTTTGTTTCTTCATCAGAACTGATTTGGAGAAATGTAGCATTGCAATCACTTGCTCACCAACGGCTCCTCTGCAGTGAATGGGTGCCGTCAGAATGAGAGTCCAAACAGCTGATAAATACATCACAATAATCCACAAGTAATCCACACCACTCCAGTCCATCAATTGACCGTTCGCAAAGAGCTTGATTGACAGGCGATCTGACCAATCATAACGCAGAATCTGCTATCTTGTCCGACAGTGCTTTCACCCAGACCACCCTTTTTAAGCGGACTCGGGTACGGTTCGCGGGTGCGCACCCGAGTTCGGAAGACAGCGTTCACATCATCCAAACGAACCGAACTCTGACGTCAATCGAACCCGGGTGCGCACCAAAAGTGCTAGTGTGAAAGCAGCCTAAACTTGAAAAACGGTGTGTATTGACATCTTTCCGTGGTTGAAATAAAATACATTCTGATGTTCATTCAGTCTTATTTCGTGCTTTAAGTAAATATGAAAAGAGATCGGTTCACGTGTGCTGCTTGAACTGAGGCGATACAGGGATCTTTTGCGACACATTATTTATTGTTTGAATTTCTTAAATTAAAAAATTTTAAAGCTGAGACCTGCTCTGTCTTGTCTGTCGTTGTGTTGTCAGTTTCCTCTTTGCTCAGCAATGTATTTTTCACTGCATGAGAACATGATGTGTAATGTGAGAGCGGCATTGTTTGTCGGACATAGCAAAAGTAACTAAGGAGGGCGGGTTTTTGCGAAGGGTTAATTAGCATCTTGTGAAGCCTAAAAGAGAAATTTGTAAGAAACAAATCCGTCATTAAGGCGTTTTAACTTCAAACTGTTGCATTCGGCTAAAATATAAGTCTATAATCCACAATATTGCTTTCTCCAGTGAAGTTGTCTTATGTGAATCAGGAGAGATATCTGCACAGATCAAGCACAGTTTACAAGCCAAATATGTTGGTGGATTTGGTGTGATGTTTATGTGAGAGGACAACAGGGGATGGACTTTTTCACTGGAGGAAGCGTTATTATGGATTTTGGACTCATATTATGGCCAGAAGCAGTGGTTTGAAATTAAAAATGATGATGCATTTGTTTCTTACAAACACACAGCTTTTGGCTTCCCAAGACATTAACTGATGGACTGGAGTGGTGTGGATTACTTGTGGATTATTGTGATGTTTTTATCAGCTGTTTAGACTCTCATTCTGACGGCACCCATTCACTGCAGAGGATCCATTGGTGAGCAAATGATGGAATGCTACATTTCTCCAAATCTGTTCCCATAGAGAAACAAACTCATCTACATCTTGGATGGCCTGAGGGTGAGGACACTTTCAGCCAATTACTCTTTGTCTAGTAGAAAGGAAATCTCCATGAAATGAAATCTCCATTGTGATTTCTCTTTCCTATTGGTCGTGTCCTCCCTGATTGTGTCTTCATGAAGTAATGCAGTGGACTGGTGGATCTCCACCCTCTTCCACTGTCAGCATATGGAACATGTTCTCAAAACTAATGTGCCTGAGGGTCATTGAGGAGATTCACGTCTCTATCATCCATTTGCAGTCTAATGCACTTAACCACTTAACGCATGTGATTTTTACTGGTCTTGTAAACCTGCCATAGTGGTTTTCTGAATGGACGTCAGTTGGTGTGACTCCTTTTTTATGTGCTAACAGGAAACTCGGACTGTTTATAATTCTCTGACAATATGACATTCCTAGAGAAGTCATCGATCTGGATGAGCTGTTTATGAACAAGTGCAATAGCTGATGGTTATGTTAACAGCATTTTTGGCAGAAGGATAGAATTCACTAAACAAATAATAAAAATGTGGTCGACAGTCACGTGCATCCGGGAATTTTCTCAGCTGGGAATGTCCTGGAAGCCTGAGGGTGAGGACACTTTCAGCCAATTACTCTTTGTCTAGTAGAAAGGAAATCTCCATGAAATGAAATCTCCATTGTGATTTCTCTTTCCTATTGGTCGTGTCCTCCCTGATCGTGTCTTCATGAAGTAATGCAGTGGACTGGTGGATCTCCACCCTCTTCCACTGTCAGCATTTGGAACATGTTCTCAAAACTAATGTGCCTGAGGGTCATTGAGGAGATTCACGTCTCTATCATCCATTTGCAGTCTAATGCACTTAACCACTTAACGCATGTGATTTTTACTGGTCTTGTAAACCTGCCATAGTGGTTTTCTGAATGGACGTCAGTTGGTGTGACTCCTTTTTTATGTGCTAACAGGAAACTCGGACTGTTTATAATTCTCTGACAATATGACATTCCTAGAGAAGTCATCGATCTGGATGAGCTGTTTATGAACAAGTGCAATAGCTGATGGTTATGTTAACAGCATTTTTGGCAGAAGGATAGAATGCACTAAACAAACAATAAAAATGTGGTCGACAGTCACGTGCATCCGGGAATTTTCTCAGCTGGGAATGTCCTGGAAGAAGCACCTGAAGTGGTTAGCGAGTGAATCAATCCGTGCATGAGTTTTGAGTTTTGTCTCAAAACATAGTTTAACTGCAAAAGTATGTTTTATTTTAATTGATTCTAATTTAATTCAATTTGAAATATGTAATAATTATTGGGTAATGAATATGTGCATGAGTTCTTGCATGCTGTCTATGCGTCACACTTGACATTTTGTCTTTGCAGTGTATGTTTGAGGCAAGGGCTCAGTGATATATTGAATGTTTGTAATATATTTGCATTGATTATGCTGGCAATATGATGATTTTAATGCATGCTTTATTTTATATTTATTTTTTTTATTTTGCTTTATTTTGAAATGGACAGTAATGTGTCTCCGCAAATGTTTTATTTGAATGTATTACAATTTAATTTCATTTGATTTGAAATGTATAGCAATTAGTGAGTAATGAATCCATGCATTCATTTTTAGATGTTGCGTTTGCATTATGCTTGCTATTTGGGTTTGCAGTGTATATTTGAGGCAATACTAGGGCTCAATGATATTGAATATTTATAAAACAAAATTTTGCAATGATTATGCTAGCAGTATCATGATTTTAATGCATGTATTATTTTAATTCAATACGGACAGTTTAACTTATACTAACTATCCGTGCAACCTTTTTTTTATATACATGTTCTCTACTCTTGCCATTTGTCTCTGCAATGTATATTTGAGGCCAATATTAAGGCTCAGTGATATAGTGAACATTTATAGTACATTTGCAATGGTTATGCTAGCAATATCATGATTTTAATGCATGTTTGTATTTTATTTTGAATTAATATTTAATGTGAAACGTACTGTATAGTAATGATTGACTAAGGAATGCATGCTGCAGTTGCATTAATGGCATTGCATGCTATTTGTCTTTGCAATATATATTGAGGCAATACTATGGCTCATTTATATATGGAATGTTTATAATATATTTGCAGTTAATATGCTAACAATGTCATGATTTAAATGCATGTTTTTAGCCATTAATTTAAAAACTGCCTTTTAACTCCCTTTTATTCACTCTGCTTGTCTCTAGAGAGCATTATGTGTCATTTGTGTCACAAATGTTTGTGTTTTACAGAAATTCACAAATGCATCTTTCCTCATTTCAAACACACGTCCTCTCTCTCCTGCAGACCATGATGACCCGTTATTGATCACTTCAATATGCACTCAAACAAAGCCTCGTGCTAGCAGCAGGGCTTGGTCTGGACAAGGCGTCTTTGCTGAAATCCGAGTGGAAATATGCTCTGGATATGACAATGATTTAGCACTTTATTGAGGAGACGAGACAGGCAAACTTTTTGCGGTCGAGGGGAAAGTATCACATGTGGAGCTCAGCTCTAACAAAACCACAGAGAATCTGACCTCTGAACACAACTAAGCCATTCTTTTCCATAGGTTATATAATAATAATAACACTATGAAAATGATTTCCCGACAGTTAATTGCTTGCAGGAACATTTCTCAAGCAAAGGCTGGATTATGGGTCATTAGATGTATTCTACAAAAGAATGAACAGTTATGGTAAAATGTCAAATGGTTTAAAGAAAGTGTTTTATTTCCTTTCAAACAATGAACTGGACAAATTATTGAAGGTACAATTAAAGGACTTGGCCACTATTAAATCAGGGTTAATATTCATAATGCTGTTAAATAGTTATGAATTGTTTCACTTTTTGACCAGTGGATTTCCATGGCTTTTCCAGATGTTCCTCATTATTGGTTAATGTGTTAAGCAAACTTCATAATATAGGGACTGGTTGTAATTCATTAGTGTGAATTTGAACTGAATGGGCCACGTCATACAGACCCAACTATCCATCATGAAAGCCTGCTTCATGTTGGTCTATTGTATGTATGTACATGTATGCATTTATTTATTATTTTTTATTTAACTAACTTTTATTTATTTAACCATTACTTTAAATACATTTTTATTAAACGTTTATTTATTCATTGTTTACTTTCATTTATATTACTGTATTTGTTCATTTTTCTTTATTTATTTTACTTTTTCATTAATTTGATTTTTTACTTTATTTTATTTTAACTTATTCTAAATTGAATGTAAAATGTATAGTAATCAATTGCAATTTTCCGTAACAGGCATTTTGTTTAATTGATCATTTAAAATCCAATTCTTAATTCAAATCTGAGCAAATGGCACACAACCCTCCTGGATAACTATGTTTAAAAATGTGTTTTAGAGATTGGATGAATTAGTTCAGAGCTGGGAATAACTAGAAACTGTACTACAGAAAATTTGTAGTTCAACTAATGCTTTTGTGCATCTTTTACAGTACACTAATTGCTGGGACTGCAACAAACAATGAGGACCAGTGACTTTTGAATGATTTGCAGATGCATGGAAGTCAAGTGACTGTACCTGACGGATCATCATCCTCTGTGAGATCTTCCTCCTCACCTTCTTTGTACATGTCGACCTCTGCAAGTGAATATATGTGCTGCTGTTAGTTTGGTTTGAGCTACAGAAGATTTAAAACACTGTATTTGCATTGCATTGCATGTGTTTGTCCAGGCTTTGATGTTTTTTCCAGATAGATCAATCAGTCCAATAATACAAAGAATAGTAGTTGATCATGTTTAGGGCAGGATTGTCTATTTGCCTGAATGTACTATGACTTGTGAAAGAGCAAGCTTCAGATATTCACCTTCATTGTCAGCACATGCACCCAGACCGCTGCTGTCCACACTGCTGTCCAGATCCTCTGACAGAAGCGAGCTGTTCGCTGAGAGAACGGGAGGGAGAACCGGCATAGTCTCCGAACATGACTGTTCACCCTCTTCAACAGTCTCGACTGACATGGCCTCTGAAACACACACAGGTAATCAATACAGTAACTCTCCTTATGCATAATGCTCTGAATATCTGTCAAGCAACTATGGTCGAAACCAAACCATATATACAGTGGGTACGGAAAGTATTCAGACCCCCTTAAATTTTTCACTCTTTGTTATATTGCAGCCATTTGCTAAAATCATTTAAGTTAATTTTTTTTCCTCATTAATGTACACACAGCACCCCATATTGACAGAAAAACACAGAATTGTTGACATCTTTGCAGATTTATTAAAAAAGAAAAACTGAAAAATGCTCAGTATTTAGTAGAAGCACCCATTTGATCTAATACAGCCATGAGTCTTTTTGGGAATGGCCTCTGAAACACACACAGGTAATCAATACAGTAACTCTCTTTATGCATAATGCTCTGAATATCTGTCAAGCAACTATGGTCGAAACCAAACCATATATATAACTGCATGTCTCAAAAGAATGACCCGTGCATCATCTGTTTCTGGAAATCAAGAAATTATTTCTTAAAAGGCAGCAACAAAGAGCATGACCAGTGTAGTCTGATTCATGAATGTAACACTCAGATCAATCTCAAATTCAAGTTTTTTTTTCAGTTTGATATGCTCTAAAACTCGAGGTCTGTTCACACCAAGAACAATAACTATTAATGATAACTATATTAGTGTTCACATCAATGCACAAAAACGTTCTGTTTATTGTGCAGTTTTGTCATCTGTCCCTTTGCTCGAGCTCATTAAATTAGAGTGGATTCTGATTGGCTGTCACATGTTTTTATTATTCATCAGATGGAATCTTTTTATTTTTGTAAAAATGATTCCAGTGATATTCTGTATGTTGTCGTTATATTTGTGCTGTGGATTCTACCACTTTACATTTATTTACATTTAGAATGATTTTAAAATTATATCATTATTGTTATAGTTATCAAGAGCCTTTACTAAATTGCAAAAAAAACAAATTTTTTTTTTTTTTTTTTTAGAAATTAAGAACTGTTACTGTATTGTGTACTTTATATGAGAACATTAACAACACACTACTGTTCAAAAGTCTGGGGTCGGTAAGATTTTTAACGTTTTTGAAAGAAGTATCTTCTGCTCACCAAGGCTGCATTCATTTGATTAAAATTACAGTAAAAACAGTAATACTGTGTAATATTATTTTACAGTTTAAAATAACTCTTTTCTATTTTAATATAATTTAAAATGTAATTTATCCCTGTGATCAAAGCTGAATTTTCAGCATCATTACTCCAGTCTTCAGTGTCACATGATTTTTCAGAAATCAGTCTAATATGCTGATTTGCTGCTCAAGAAACATTTCTTATTATTATTATCAATGTTGAAATGTTGTTTAATATTTTTGTGAAAGACATGATACAATTTTTTTCAGGATTGATGTTTAGAAAGTTCAAAAGAAGAGCATTTATCAAACTTTCACGTTTGATTAATTTAGTGCACCCTTGCTAAAATAGTCATTTCTTACTGACACCCAACGTTTTAACGGTAGTGTAGTTTTGATTTTTGTAATGTTTCCCCCCCCCCCTTTTTTGTAAATGCTACAGAAATGCTTCCTTTACAACTTAAAGGAACTGAAATGAAGTGGATTTCCCATTGTTAGTTCCCCAGTAGAAACACATCAAATTTCTTAAGAAAATTTGAAACATCAATCTCAAGATGATCATCTTTTGTAAGAGCTGGTTTGTTCTCAGGTTTATACAGAAACTAACAGTGGGGTATCTAGTCTAAACAAGGGAATTATGTTTGACCTCTGCTGCTTTCCTGTTTCTCTAAGAGAGCCTGTGGCAGCTTGATGAAATTCTTTATCAGTTGCTGGAGATGATTTGTGCTGCACATGAGCCTCACCGTCCTCATTACACGGCTCTCCCCGCCGCTCGCGCACCAGCTCGTGGTGCTCGGTGTCCTCCAGAGCCTGAAGGAATTTGGAAAACCAGCCAGCTTCGTTTTTCACCAGCCTTTTGAGGAGCAGCCGAGCGCCACCTATGTTCCCTTGATTCTCTGTGAGTTTCAGAATCTGCCGGAGTCATAATGAACAAATAGTTAATGCGTTTAATATGAGTGACAAGAGGGAAGAACCAACAGAACAACGCTGACAGACACTAGACAAAGAGGCACACAGGCCGGTTAGTTAATCTCAATATGGGTCATTCGTGATATGCAGAACGTTTTGAATTCTTAACATTCATTTAATCTTTTTTTTTTTGTTATTTGTAATTTTTTTAAGTATTTATTTAAAAAAAAGGCTATGTTCAGAAATGTTGTTTGTTCAAGCTCAGACACGTCACCTTTAATTAATTATAATAATTATTCATGCATAATAATTTATTAATATTAAATAAATATAAATAAATTATTATATATAAATATGGTATATTACATCCAATATTAAATGAATAAATATAAATACATTATTATATATAAATATTATACAAATAAATAGTATTTTACATCCAATGTAGTAGTAGTAGTAGTAGTAATAATAATAGTTAGTAGTAGTATATTACATGCAATGTATAACAATATATTAATTATCACAAGTATTAGTAGTATATTAAATGAGATGTAATTATTAATAATCATTATTAATATGATTAATAATAGTATTATATGCATACTTATATAAAATATACATTATATATAAAAGTATATATTAATATAAATAATTGTTGTTGTTACACTCTAAAAAATGCTGGGTTGTTTCAACCCAACTTTGGGTCAAATACCAGCATTTTTTAGAGTGTATATTGCAATTAAGTATATCACTACTAATAACATTTTATTGAATTGTGAGTTTAATATTTCATCTAGTATGTCAGAGCCACATCAGTAACTCAAATACACAATTTATAGCACATCTGTTTCTGTTTGGTTTATAGCGCCCTCTACTGATGATAATTATTTCTGTCTATAGTTGTAATGCAGGGATTCACAAACCTTTTTTTGTCAGCCCCTGTGACGTAGGCTAATATATTTACTTTAAGTCCCCCTCATTTTTTTAAAGTGAATATTTCAATATTTTAACAGAATGAATGAATGAATGAGAGTCACAAAATCGCTGGGGTGTATTTGTAGCAAAAGCCAAAAATACATAGTAAGGGTCAAAATGATCGATTTTTCTTTGATGCCAAAAATCATTAGGATATTAAGTAAAGATCATGTTCCATGAAGATATTTTGTAAATTTTCTACCATAAATATATGAAAACTTATTTTTTGATTAGTAATAGGCCTGTGCATTGCTAAGAATTCATTTGGACAACTTTAAAGGCGATTTTCTCAATGTTTTGATTTTTTTTTTCTCCCCACCCTCAGATTCCAGATTTTCAAATAGTTGTATCTCAGCCAAATTTGGTCCTATCCTAACAAACCATACATCAATGGAATGCTTATTTATTCCGCTTTCAGATGATTGTTTTCAGACCCTTACGCGACTGGTTTTGTGGTCCAGGGTCACACATTTTTTAAAATTCTTAGCTTTTGACCCCCCATTTGTTCGGGCCCCCCGATCTGATGTAAGATTACTGACGTTCTCCTGGTCCTCCAGCGTCAGGAGCCCCAGCGCGCGGCAGTGTGCGCACATGTCTGCGGTCTTCATGTTGACCAGCGTGAGCTGCAGGAGGTCGATCAGCCGGACGCAGCTGTCGTTCTCGGCCTCCTCTGTGGGCTCCGGTGGGCTGTTCAGCACGTACTTTGCGGCGTGTTTGCACCCGACGGTCTCCAGCGCGGTGATCAGCTCTCTCGACCATCCCTGCTCGCAGTTTTTAGAGTGAATAATCTCGTCAAGCAGAAGTGCCGCGGCGCTTATGTTCCCCTCCTCACGAAACTTGGCTTTAATCCGGTCCTTTCGATCCGGTTCGAGGAAATGCAGCAGATCCAGAAGTGGCTCGACCTGAACGAGTCGCTTCAGTCTGTCTCTGAAACAGTCCAGAATGTGACGCGTCTCTGCGTCCTGATCGCAGCTCATGTTGATAAGATATCTCAGAAAAGATCAGCAGAAGTTCACCGATCCCCGACGGACCCGTGATCAGTTCCCCGGACCGGTTTACTTTCGCTTTCGTTTCTCGTCTTGGTTTTCAAACGTCAGATGTGCGACGCGTCTTGCTAACATTGTCAACTTTTGAGCCAAATAAATGAAGAAGAAAAAAAAAACATATTTATCGAAATACCTTTATTTATTCATAGGTCTACAGCTTTGCGGTCATATAAAAATATGTAGGCTACACTAACACTTTTCTGCTATTTTAAATAGCCTAACAAATAAACACTAGATGGAGACTGAATACATTATGCCAAACCGGTAAGCAAAACATTCCTACGTAATATAATATAATATAATATAATATAATATAATATAATATTTGTTTCTACACCAAATCTTTTTTTTTTCCCCCTCCAGTCTGGAGGGGATAAAGGCAATTAGACTAAGCAGGGATTTTCATTAGCAGCATTTTTTTTATTTTTATTAAATAATACATTTAATAATTTAAAATCAAATGACCTCATGTATTAGGGCTTTTCCCATCAGTGTTGTAATTGTTAGCCAAAACTAAAACTACTAGATAACGTTTTGTTAATTGAAATAAAGCTGAAATAAAAGAAATTATTAATATTTTGTGAAAAACGTGAGCTTCAAAAATGTAAATGAAAATTTGAAATGTTGTCTTGACAAATATCTGAAATAAAATAAGTTTATGTTGAAGAACTAAAATTACACAAACAAGACAACAATGAATGAAAAGGCACAAAAAACTAAAATACTAAAACTGAAACTAAAACTAAAATGAAATAAAAACTGAAAATATATCTAAAAATTCTAAATACTAAAATAACATTTCATACAGACAAGCAGGTGTTTATAGAAGTACTGTGATTTTTGTTGCTGTTTAGGGTTTATTTTTCACCAGTGACAATCAATCACATTTTTATTCATGATTATTAATTTTATATTTAAGTGCTTCTTTCTGAAAAAAAATGATAATTTTGACTCAATAAACAGCCACAGGAACAACAGTAAGCATAAAACTGATATGCATTCCTTTTATTTATATACTTGTTTATACAGTTAGTCAAAAGTCATCGCCTAAAGTAATTGCTTTAAATATATATATTATATATATATATATATATATATATAATAAATAAACCTTTAAATAACAGACACATTCAAAACACCTGTAGAGTATTGCGGTGTACAAACTATACAGTGCAAACTATAAAAAACATGTCAGTCAAAGTGAAACACTGGGATAAAAAGTGAAAGTGTTACGTGCAAACGTTTGCCGTTTTATGTCCAAAAAAAACAAAAACAAAACAAAATGCCACCTCTGCTTCTGGCTGTCTTCAATATGATTATGCAGCAAAATGCCACATATAAATACAATTTAATTACTAAATTAAAGATAAAGACGCATATATACACTCACACACACTCACACATTCATGCAGAGGTTGGTAATATTTATTATAAGGGCGTGGAGTCTTTATGTTAAAATAAAGTGCAGATATCATCCCTTCATGCAGAAATGAATGATATTCCAGTGAGATTTAATGCATTTATCTGCAGATTTGATATTTGTTTGGATGTGATGATTCTTAATTTTACATGTTTCTGTGCAATTTACTAGATTTTTTTGCTTGTAATTCAAAATGCAGTGTTTTGCAGTGATATATAAAAATAAACATAAATAAAATAGCTCAAATCAAAGCTGTAACTTTGAAATCAAGCTGCGGAATCTTGAAAAAGTAATTCACAAAAGTGTTTATTGCACATTAAAAAAAAAAAAACTCCAGTATATCACTGGGTATAAATATATATATTTAGGTATAACCTAATATTACAGAAAAAGAAAACAGATGCAAAAACTTCCCCTCAGATGATGTTAGGCAGTAAATATTACAATCTTTTCAACACAAATCAGCAAATCAACTCTTTAGACGAGATCCAGTGTTTTATCATTATTGCTAGCAGGATGTGACAGAAGCTTCTCTAGGATAAATATTTGGAAAACAAAGTGATTTTGTTGTAAGAAGATTTAGAATGTAGCCAACATTATTGTAGCTTTTTTTTTTTTTTTTACCAGAAGTTGATAAATATTCTATTATGCATATAAATTCATACTGTAGCTACATATGAGACTAACATGTGCTTTGCAAACAGTGGCGTATCGCAAAACTGAGCAGTGGCATCATACATGAACGCTTTTTTTTTGGCGCCGCCACGATATTTTCTGTGCATCTTTTTGAGTAATAGTTGATAGTTTTGAGTGTCTATGATTCATTATTTCTCACTTTTGTGACCCCAGTGTAAATACAGTTTTGCTGCATTAAAAAGTATGTTTGTATTCCATATTATGATTATTACACATGTGGCCGTCTTGTACGCCAGTGCTTGCAAAGAAGCCTCTCAATGTCATTGTTTTATGTCGTGCAGAGTTTGGTTCAAGCTAGCATGACCATGTGCAAATAAACCTAGTCAATTAGAGAGGAGTGCATTCAGTGATTAGCTCTGAAACATGCCGACATACAGTAAACCTGCTTCCCAATATGTTGCAGTAAACATGCAACACGTAAAACCTTCAGCCAAGCATCTCTTTTCATTTAATAGTGGGGTATCATGTACAGTGGGTACGGAAAGTATTCAGACCCCCTTAAATTTTTCACTCTTTGTTATATTGCAGCCATTTGCTAAAATCATTTAAGTTAATTTTTTTTCCTCATTAATGTACACACAGCACCCCATATTGACAGAAAAACACAGAATTGTTGACATTTTTGCAAATTTATTAAAAAAGAAAAACTGAAAAATGCTCAGTATTTAGTAGAAGCACCCATTTGATCTAATACAGCCTACATGGCAGCTAATTAAGATTCCCAAAAATTAAATTGAATAAAAAAATGCAAACAAACCAATATTTGGCTACAGTGAAGTCCAAAACTCAGATAATATTGAAAACTTTTTTTCATTTATATATTAAATTTTATGATGTAAAATGAATTTACATCAAAATTAATAAATGAATAACAATTCACATTTATGTGTATGCTGCAATTTAACTTTTCAAATTCAAATGGACTTTTTTGTCCAAAATATTTTGTAACATAATGTTTAATTCTAGTGAAAAATGTACTAAATTAGACAATAATGCAAATAAATAAATATAAATAAAATATAAATATAAATAAAAAATTAAATGACTATATTTAATAAAATAAAAAAAATAAAAAAAATCTAAATAAATATAATAATTTGTACTAGTGGGGTCCAAAACTGAAAGCACATTGAAAATTGAAAATTTTCCATTCTTTAAATTTACACATGAAACTTGGATATAAAATGAACTGAATGAATAAAAATTATTTATTATTTCTATAAATAATTTTGGTTTCACATGTTTTTCAACTGAAATTTTTTCTATTTTTGTCAAAATGATGTTTTATTTTTAAAATATATTCAAAATATTTTGTATAACATTTTTATGTTTAATTGTAGTGAAAAAAGCTTTATTAGAAAATAATAAAAATTAATTAGTGGACCACACTGTACACTATATAATTCTACAGGGTTCTGCTAATGGAAGTGTAAAATGATAAAACAGGGAAGAGATTCTGCCAGTATGATATGTTAACCACCATCAATGTCCTGAGTCTCACACCAGTGTAAAAGTGTGCAGAACACATGTATGTGGAAAAGTGTCCAAGACACTCCAAGAAATGTCTTTGACTTCCTGAAAACGGAAGTGTGGTCCAGAATTCCGTTCCAAATCTTCCTCGACGGCATCGAGGAGTGTAACGCAGGAGAAGGAAGAGGAAGAGGAAGCAAATGTACAGGCGAGAGCCAGCGGTGAATCTTAAGTTGTATTAGTATTAAAGTTTTGGCCAGTGCCTGTTTTCAAAACGTCCTTTATGCCTCCAAGAAGGTGTGGAAGAGCTGTGGGACGTTCTGGTCAGTGCAGTCCTGGATGAGACGGCGGTCTGTGGAGCTCCAGAGCGGCTGTGGTGTCTGGAAGCAGGGATCTGGACTGCTGGCGCGTCAGAGGAAGAGTCTGGCTGTTTGTGAAGCGGTACGTGGTGCTGGAGTCCTGTGAGGACCGTGTCCCGTGGCTCTGCTTTGGGTTGGAGTCCGTAAGGGCCAGACCTGACAGAGAGTCTTTGGGGTTCGGATGGATCTTTGTCATGGCCAAAAAGTCAGCGTCCTGTAAAAGAGGGATTTATTGCATTGTTTATTGGTGATAATGAACATTTTTTATGTGTATTTTAGTGTTGTGCATGATTCAGAAATGCATTATTAAAATGAAATGTCTAGTCCTTAAAGCAGCCAATTATATCCTGATTTAATCTGTGGCAATTTTTTTAGGAGTAACCTTAAGAGAAAAAAATCTTTGAAACGTGTGTGTATATGAGTGGTTTTTTTTTTAGTATCAATGAGATACTATTATAATTTTTTATTAATCGCTTTTATTTTTACATTTTTGTTTTTTATTTTAATATTTTTTAAAGTTTTAGTCATTTTATTGTGTTTTTGTCATTTTTATTATTATTTTTAATATGTCTATATAGTTTTATTTTTTATTTTCAGTTTTGGTCTCTAGTAGGGCTGCACGATATTATCGGACCGATATCGGAATCGGCCGATAATGGCTTTAAATGTACATATCGGCATCTGCTCCATATGAAAAAAAATATGCCGATATGTCTTGCCGATAAGAGGAATACCTTAACTCACATGTGCTCAGGGTGTGCAAGCAATTAGATCAGGTCAGCAGTGTGACTCATTCTGGAAGCAAAATTTTGCCTGAATGGCAATTAGATTCACTGCTTTGGATCGCTGCATTTAATCTGTGAAAGCAGGTACAGAACGACGCGATCCATGTATGATAGAGTAAACCGTAATAGCACGTGTAGTGGCAGCAGCGGCAGCCTCCCCCGGGTCCCAATGCCCGTTCGGTAAGGAGTTTTAATTCCGTAGGGGGCACTGTTGGCCTACTTTGAATAGAATGAAAGTAAAATACACAAATAACATTTAGACTGTGTTTCTGATTAAATAAAGCAGTAATTGATGTCATAAAATCATGAGTATGTTTTGATTTAAAGGTCAGAAGCTATCGCTTACATGAATAAAAAAAAATCACAAACACGACACTTGTAAATTAAATACATTTATATATACTGATTTATTCATTAATGTGTAATATGTTATTTTGTAAACAAATTGAGTTCTAAAA